CATAATATCACCTGCGGTCGGTATTCAAATGTGCGGCGACGTGCTGCCACGTCGCCTGGAGGCCGCGCCAGATGGGAAATAGGCCTCCGGTGAACCAATTGACAAGTTCAGGGGCCCATTATCCGCGTTTGCAAGTTGGTGGACCAGAATGGCATAGGCTGACAAGTTAAAGGACCGCCAGTGTATTTCACTCTATTATATATTTAAACTGTAGTAAAAATTTCATACTCATTGAATCATGTATAACTTAGTTATATATTTTATTTAGGTTTATGCTTGTTAAATATTAAAATGATGATTGGTCCAATTGAAATGGTTCATGGGAGCCAAATCTAACAAAAAAATACTTTGCAAGCTAGAAATAAGGCCTTACCTTAGGGTAGGTGTGGAAGGAATATATATTATAATGTTGACAAGTTTATAAAAAAATACTCCCTTCATACTCAAAAATGAAGTTGCTTTGGACAAGGTTTGGGTCAAACAATGAGAATATAAATCATGAATAACTTTTAAGTTGTTGAGTTTGAAAATGTGAAAACCATATGTATAGATTTGTCTTGAAAAATACTTTCACAAAAATTTACATATATCACTTTTTGATAAATATCTTTATAAAAATAAGTAGTCAAAGTTATGCTTTGGAGACCGTGTCGCTGTCCCAAATGACTTTATTTTTTTAGTATGGAGGGAGTATGTATTAACATCTACCATACCAAATAAATACAATATTAAGATAAATTCTATAGTGAATTTACCATAACTAATTTGATGATGTAGATGTTAGCATATTTAATATAAAATTAGTCAAAACTGAAAAGTTTGATTTAGAATAAAATAAAAATATATTTTTTGAACTAACTGAGTATGTACTTGACAATAAGGATAAAAGCGAACACCAACAATATGCCAAAAAACCAATATCACACAATCTAGTGACAAATAAGGAAGATACCAGAAATTGTGCATTATTAATTATTACATAACATTAAAACAATCCTTACATCAAGACTACTATTTTTTACTGCAAACATGGCGCAAGCGATTCTCTAAACTTTGGTGAAACTCCATAGGCCATAGGGACATCGACCGGTTACCCTCAGCCTAAAACATCTAGAACTGCACAAGATCTTCAACATAAATTCCACCATCTACTACCTATCTGGGATTTTGTTAAATTGTAGCAAGTGTGAGCATACCATAGTCAATCAAAAAAGTATAACATGAGCTTATGCAAGGCTCAAAAGGTTAGACTTAGCTATGCTGCGGTAAGCATTTTAATTCAGATTCAAATACGGATACGGATCTTGTCGAATACGAATGCAAAACGAATGTCTCAGATTCATATTTCTATTCGGATATTTACTCAATTCAACTCAAAGTGCATATTTGTTAAATTCAACATAGATGTAGAAGTTAACATACTACTAAGTTCGTTGATAACCAAGGTGAAATAAAATCAAAGTGCACTTCTAATAATCTCCAGTATTAAAGTGAGCTAAATTATAATGGATAATATTTAATAAAATGATGGGTTAAGTGAAGAAATTTAAATAAGAATGGTAGGCAACAAGTAGCCATTTTGCTTTATAAATCTTATGTAATTACAAGATTATTATACATGTAGAGAATAAAGTATGTATGCAAATAACATAGACAAGAATAGCTCATAAAAAATATAGTTATCAATAAATATTTAATATTAAATATATCAATGAATTAATCATTATTTATATAATATTTATTTTGAAATTATAACTTATATAAAATAATTTACATCAGCAAAAATTAAATTAAAGTATTAAAATAATTTGCAACAACAAATATATTAGGTTTAAACTAAATTTGGAAAACACTATAGTTAATTTTATATTTATGTATCATTATTTATACTAAATTAAAATTAAAGTTTACTTATAGATATACTACTAAATAGTTTCAATGCATCATTAATAATATTAAATTTAAATAATTAGGCACTGGTCATGTAAAGAAAACATTTGAATAGATTCATTAAACCTTGCTCTTTGCGGATACGGATAAATGTCGAATCTTCCATATTTTTGTCGACTATGGATCTGGAACCTGGTAGAGAAAAATACGGAAAAATGAATTCGCATACATCCACTTAGTATCCACATTAGAAACGGATACGAATACGGATATCCATATTAGACGTTTTAGCGGATACAGATTCAGATAATTCGAATTTTTCGAAATCCATTTCATATTAGACGTTTTAGTGGATACAGATTCGAATAATTTGAATTTTTCGAAATTCATTTCCATCCCTATGTACAGGGGCAAGCCAATTCGGCGTGTTCGGCTAATGGGTTGCACAGTAGATTTCGAATGATTTAATAGTGTTCTGTGAGAGACAATAGTGTTCTATGAGATAGAATAAGCTAAAACAAGCTGAAAGTAGTAAAGCCGAATAGGGTTTAGCTGCCTGGGCAAGGAATTGAAAAATGGTGGCATGGTCGCGACCAATTTCGTCATCGCTCGCCCTGCAGCATCGCTCGTCTTCAACCTCACGGCTCATGAAGGCCAGGAGGGAGGGGTCTTGCCGGAGTGGAGATAGGGCGGCCGCCGTCCTATGGGTGGATCCGCCTATGAGGTCAAGCATGGGGAGCGTCAAACCATGGTTGAGGTTGAACAGCCTACTCTTTTCTCCGGTGAGAAAAGAAATACTGCCCTAGGCCTGCTGATAGGTCGTGTCCTACTGTGGCTGCACGCTGCCGTCCCGTGCTTTCATTTTTATCATGAAGCCGTGGCGCCGTGCACAGCTCTCTTGCCCTGCACTGCACACAGTGCACATGAGCCGTGCCGTGCGCCTTTCGGCAAAAAGCCACACGCGCGGCGGCCACCCAGACCCAACGGGCAACAGCCACCAGGGTGCTGCTGCCTGTCTTTCGCTCGTAGCCGTAGCCGTAGCCGCGTTGCTTGGGTGCCCGTTTGCGTCCATGGTGCGGCGGTAAAGGTTGCACACGTCACGTGACCGGAGTACCGGACTAGACCCACAGCGTTTAACTTTGGCGTTTACCCTTACCACATTGTCGTTTTTGCTCAAGCAAAGCTCGCCTTCTTGTGCTCCATTTCCCTTCTTCCTCTCCCTTTGCTCTCTCCGATGATGACCCAGGAATCAAGGAGGCTTGGGCAACATCAAGGTTTAGCATCTTTCTATTGGTATTTACTTGAAAAAACCGCCAAACCTTGATCAAACTATCATGTACCAATGAAAGTTATGAAACATATCCTAGCTACAAATGTTAATATGATTATCTATGGCAAAAGAGAACCAGTTAGTTTGACAATAGAGAAAACTATTACAGATAATATTTTTGAAATATATTGTTTGTTATTGGTAGCGACACATAATTTAGGTCATGTTTTATGGAAGCTTTATCTAACTTTTCGCTTTGTTGCTACAGTAGCCACAGGAGTCGAGAGAAAAAAAAAGCTTCATAAACATTAGCACCGTGGTAAGTTGGTAACGATAACAATGCTCCCAATAGACAAAGCTAAACCCTAGCAAGCTCTATCAAAAAGGGCATCAATCACCGGTGATATTTAGGGTGTGTTTAGTAGATTTTCATATAACTCTAGATCTAAAAAATAGCTCCGCTCTCAATTTTTCAGCCAAACGCCTCAGCTCCGTAAACTCCAGATCTGACAAAAACGTGGATTTAGCTCAAAAATCCACCAAATCCATAGAGCACCTTAAGGGTGCTATGAAAACTCTAATTTCATGGACTTAGAAAAATACTACCCACCGCTACCACTCACTGCACAAAGATACAGATTCGATCTAATTTTTCTTTCCACCTTGTGCTCTGTTTCTCGTCGTGGCCTTCCGTCGCGCCACCACCGTGCCCCGCCGCCCGCACCACGACTGTGCCCACTGAATACGCGGAGGAGTTAGGACGCATTTGGTTCGTAGTCCCGACTTACCGCACCCCGGCGCACTGCATGCGCCGCACTTTTGGCATCCGTTTGGTTGGCTGCGGCGGTTGCGGTGTGCCGCACCGCGTATACCATACTCATATTTTGATGCCACAGGCCACCAAGGGGCCATTCAGCTGGTTGAAATTTCAGCCGGAATTCACTGTTCACGGCTCAATTTCACTGTTCACCCTCTCACAGATTCCTCCAGATTTCTCCAAATTCCTCCCAGCGAACAGAACCCAAAAGTTGGGAGAACGATTTCCTCGACGTGTTTTTAACGGGGACGCATCTTGAGCGCAGCGTGCGTAGGCAAGAACCGAACGCGCTCTTAGAGCCAAAAATCAGACTGAGGCCGCGTTTGGTGCGGCTCTTGGTGCTCCGGCTCCTACTCCTAAGACACTGTGCAACATTGTTTTTTTACTGTAGCATGACAAAAAAACAGCCCCGGCTCCTTCAAAAATGAACTAGAAAGAAGAGAAGCCGGAGGAGCAGTACATTTGGAGCTTCTCCTGGCTCCGCCACAGTAGTGCTACAGCCCAGAGCCAGGGCCGGGAGAAGCCCCTCCACACGGGCTCTGAAACTCCACCAAAGGGAGGCCTTAAATTACTCACACACAACTACCACAGTAACTCAGCTATTGTATATATCATCTATAAATAAATAAAATGAATCGTGGGTATCTGTTCGTTCCCTCGCTACTGATATTTGCCGATTGTGTGTTCTGGCGACCTCTAATCCTGAACGATAAACCAATATTGAGAGCATGGCATACAATTTGTTTACTCGAAAACAAAATAAGGAGTGATATACTACGTAGCACATGCTCATCACGCTGCACGATTCTCTATTCTTTTTCTGATTAATCCTCATCCCGGTCCCGGCTCAGCTTGCCAATTGCCAGCCAGCCTTCGCAGTTCTGCTGAGCCTGGGCACACAGATTCGCACTGTACATAGCGAACAGCAGAAGCCAAGGAAGCTGAGAGAGCAGAGCGTGATGGCTCTATAGTCAGACAAGAAAGAAAAGCAGTGCAGGGCCGCAGGGGAAGAGGGAGACATCCATGGAGGTGGAGCCACCACCAGCTGCCGCGGCCACTGTAGCAGCAGCGCTTCTGAAATGCCGCGGCAACGGTGGCGGCGGGGAGCCAACGCTCGAGGCCTTCGGTAAGGCGGGGTCGAGGAGCCCGAGCCGCGAGGCCGCCGGCGGGCCTCCACAAGAACCGGACGGCACCCCCGGGCCAAGTCGCCGCCGCGGGGAGGAGCAGGAGGAGGAGCCGCTGAGGCGGGGGCTCGCGGCGGCTCAGGCGCGGGCACGGGCGCGGCGGAAGGCGGGGCACGCCACGCCGTCGCCGTCCTGGAAGCTGGAGCCGTCGCCGCCGCGGCCGGAGGATGAGGCGCTGGCCGAGGCGGATTCGGGAGCGGGGAGGAGGGGCGCGCCGGCCGCGTCGGCGCGGCAGCTGGGCGCCACCCTGTGGGAGATCCAAGACGTCATACGGGCCGCCGGCGCGGGCCGACGGATCCGACGCCGCGGGCGGAGGGCGCCCGCCGCCGATGACGCGAATGCGGATGCGGATCGGGTATGAACTTTGCCATCCGCGTCGCGTTTTCCCGGTCAACTTGATGACGCTAGTGGTCAGCTTGATGTCTGTATGCGTGCATCATCTAATCCTTCTCTTTCCAACTTTTTTTTTGTGGGTTTCTTGGATCACGTCGCTCGATCTTGCGTCAAATCACTCAAATAACGCTAACACTGCCTTTTAGTCCCTAATAAAAAATCTTTGGTGGATTAGCAGCTATTATAGTATTATGTGCTTGTTCCCTTGTGTGGTTAACATTAGCTGTTTTCAGTGCTTTAGAGTGTTGCTAAATATTGCATGCCTTTCAGTGACAAACTGACAGCATCAGATAGAATGCAAGAGTGAGTTATGGAGTATCTCCCTCCTTCCATAGGCTTCTACAGTGTACATCCTCTTCGGTTCTTTTATCAGAAACAGTTCGATACTCATAGTCTACCACTAAGCACTCTCTGGTTCGATTATAGTTTGGTAGTGTACTGTTAAGTCTTGGTTGTAAGTTGCATAGTTTTTTTTTAATATTTCTTCTCCACCTACTTTTGTTGAATTTTCAGAGCGAGCAAGTAAATGCAGCCATAAAAGCTGAATCCTAGTTTCGTGATAGTATTGTCTGTACGACCCTTGCAATTGAGTATTTGCTGGTACTCGTTTGACTTTACGATGTACTGATATATGGTGGATCTGTAGGTGGCCACTATACAGTACTGTTGCTATTCCGGCTTTTTGTTGCGTGGGTGATGCACCGTGATTTTCTGTTGAGCAGTAACAGCTATATAATTATTTTGTGGTAGTGGTACAGAGAATTCTGGAGTAGGCCTCATTTGGTTTGAAGTGCTTTAGTGTAGTTTGCAGATCGAAGCATAGACCCGAAGTCCAGTTATATTAAGAACATCACTGGTTTATTATTTTTAGTGTCCAAATTGATAAGCTAAGCGAAACACAAAGAATATTAAAATTAGTGCTGCATGGACATCTAATATGGACCAAAGATGGTGGACCAAAGATGGCTGATAAGTTTGGCACACTTGCATGTATGACTATCATCCGTGTGGTGGACTGAGCTTCAGTGTTAACATGTACATGGAATTAGAATCATATACTAGATGATTGTGAGTTTATTTCTTTTTAATGTTTATAATGACATTTTCCAACCTAAGGCCTAAGGGCATACTTGTACCTTTGTCTCGTTTTGTATGCTTTATTTTCTTTGTTTGTGGTTTCTCCTAATATAGGTTCTGTTTTACCGAGCTACCTATTTTTTTCTGTAGGAATCACCAAACTACATTGTGTTCTTGAGTATTTAGCATGCTTGTACTTGATATTTTTGTTCAGTTATTTATTCACGAGAACGTGGAGAAACCTTGCCTCTGTTAGGGACAGCGGAGAAGTGGTAAAGAAAGTGTGTATCAGGTGGTGGTTGCAACTTTTTTAAGTACGTAATGGGTAGGTGTGAAAAAATCGCATAGATCCTAAAAACTTGCAATATGCACTTTATTCTTGTTTAGTTGTTTATGCATTTGTTTTTCTGTGACCAAGTTTCATGTTCTTAACAAACTAGAGGGGCCTTGGTTTCTGTTCACACCATGCAACTTAGTAAGGCTCCCCTCACCTCTGTCATATCATTTGGAAACATAGTTTGTTCATTCATTTCTGATTTATCATGCATTCTTACAAAGCACATTATAATAATGCTCCACAGGGAGCAATGTAAACCTCTTATTTTGAAGGTGCATGGTGATGCTTTTCATTGAATATGACTAAGATTTGTGTCTTTTTTTTTTATTTAATCCTGTCCCCCTTCGTTCTGAATTTGACTTTCCTTGGGATCAATTAGTGTCAATCTTGCTTTCCACTCTGGATGTCACAGCTTGATTTTTTGTTGTTTCACAAAGGACATGCACACTGAATGTCATAAGTTTCTTCTTACATTTCAGCCACGGAGTTCAGGTGGCTTTGGAGCACAAATTGCAGCTTCAGTCATGGAGCATGAGAAGTTACATGAAGAAAGATGTCACTCAAGACAGCCTCATTCTCCTGCAAGTTACACTAGCTCAGTTGGGGTATGTATGCATTCACTCCCTCTACAGACTTCTTGGTTTACTTTGGTGTTTTACTTAACGCATTAGTTAGAAATGGCAGTTCTGCTGACATTCACTCCCTCTTCTGTCTCCCACTTGTCTATATAGGAAGTTATGGACTCTATTGCACTTGTCCAAATGCGATATGTCCATTCTATCATCATGTGCACTGTTTTTATCGTGTCACACTTGTGATGCCATTGCATATTATCGGTTCCGAGTTCTGCAGCTCGAAACACTTTTGAATTAATACATGTTTCTCAAAAGCATCTAATCATTTGACAGGCAACCACAATAAACCTTATCAGCCCAACTCGGTCGTTGGATTGCAACGCCAGATTTAGGCAGCCAGGTAATGATATTAAAACGTCAACAGAGCTACTGAAAGTTCTCAATCGAATATGGAGCTTGGAAGAACAGCATGCAGCTGATGTGTCAGCAATGAAGGGATTGAAACGAGAGTTGCATCATGCCCAGGCATGCATTCAAGAACTTCTGCAAGAGAGGCAGCGGTATCATCACGAAATTGATTCACTAGCCAGGCAAGTCACTGAAGACAAAATGGCTCGAAGGAGCAAGGACCAAGAGAAGATGAGAGCAGCCCTTGGTTCCCTGCATGAGGAGCTTGAAGATGAGAGACGTCTAAGGAAACATTCTGAGACTCTCCATAGGAAGCTAGGCAAAGAGCTATCCGAGATGAAATCAGCATTTTGCAAGGCTGTGAAGGCTCTGGAGAAAGAGAAGAAGACAACCTGCCTGTTGGAAGATCTTTGTGATGAGTTTGCGAAAGGAATCAGAAACTATGAGGAGGAAGTCAGGCTGTTAAAGCAAAAGCATGTAAAGGAGTATGAACATAAGTTTGACAAGTCTGTAGTTCATATTTCAGAAGCATGGCTTGATGAGCGAATGCAGATGCATAAGACTAAAATGAAGGAAGATTTGTCCGGTAAAACCTCAATCACAGAGCGGCTGAGCAGTGAGATTGAGGGTTTTCTTCATCATGCTAAAAGGCTAGGTAATTCCCAGAATGTTAACTTAGACAATGGTAATGAAAAGCGTGATGCAAGTTTGTGCCGGCAGTCCCTTGAGTCGGTCCATCTGAATGGAGCCACTAGTGCCCCTCAGCTAGCTGAAGATGATGATGGCAGTTCTATTGCCAGTGACTTGCATTGCTTTGAACTGAACATGCATGGAGGTGTCATTAGGAATCATGACCTTGCAGGAACTCGAAGGAGGGTTACAGGTTGCATGCATTCACCAATGCGAAGGCTGGAATATTCCAATGGCATATCTGTGGAAGGTTCACCGATGTCAAATGCACCACCTTGCCCAAAGAAAGAAAAGACAAGGTCTAGCATCAGCAGACAACAATTTATCACTTCAACACCAGATATTAGCTCACGCAATGATGCTAGCCTTGCTCCTGCAGATGAGCAGAACGAAACTGTCATGACCCAAGTCTCGAGGCGATTACATGATGACCTATTGAAGATCAAATCAGAGGCTCCTCAACATGCATATCTAGGGCAAAAATCAAACCAGCCTCGGACAAATCAATTTCATGAATCTACTTCTCGGGATCTTTGTGATGTGCGCAGTCCAGCACGGACTCTGAATAACCCAGCCCAATCCTTGGGTTACGAGATATCTGAACCCCCAGCTCATCAGCTCTTAGGCACAAAGGAGAACACTCTGAAGGCGAAACTACTGCAAGCAAGGCTAGAGGGGCAGCACGCTCGACTGAGCGCATCAGTATTCCCCTTGATCAGCACAAGAAGGAAATGATGACACTCGATGATTTAGATCCGCAACACATATAGTTGCAATTGTAAGATATCTGACTTAATAGCTGAATATTAGCTCGAGGCAATTGGACTCAGTGTTCCGTGTTCCTGCACGCCCCAAATTGCAGGTTATGTGAATCCTAGATCCAGCTGCATATGATTTTCGTTGTAGATTTGATCTGCTAACGATCAGACTAGAATCGAATCGAGATGGACATGGTAATCACATCTTGCAACTTTTGTGCAGTAATAATTTCTAGTTATTTATACTTTGCTTTAGCCATGGCCAATCTTAAAGGCCTGTTTGGATCTTTAGTAATTAATTTCAAAACTAATTGCATAAGCGGTGACTAATTAGTGAGATGAATCTATTAATCCTAATTAGATCCATGATTAGCTTATATGGTGCTAGAGTAAACATAGGCAAATCAAGGGCTGATTAGAATTAATAGATTCATCTCGCCAATTAGTCAGCGCTTATGCAATTAGTTTTAAAATTAGTTTATGTGTAGTTCTCCTAATTAGCATTTAAATATAGTGCTAATTTTTAGCAGCTGGGATCAAACAGGCCCTTTTGTCCCTTTTCTCGAAACAAAAAATGGTCTGCAAGTATTGCAATTTTTCACCCCCAGACTGACTCAGTTCCTTCGAGCCACTAGTTAAAAGATCACCTAGTGCGCTTTTGGTAGTTCCCAATCTGTATGTAATGATGCCTGCCTGACTTTCTGATCGGCTATGACAGTTTTTTGTGCTCTGGGACTGGTAGTGTAGTACTAGTACCTGTAGTTCCTGTACAGTTGGTGGAAGAAAATATGCATCAACCATCATGATAGATCGGCCACAGCATTCATGGGCCGTACTGCAGCAACTGGTGTGCGGCCGTAAAGAAAGCGTGCAGGCTGAAAGAACCTAATTGGACCGAATGATGAAGAATCTGACGGCCCAATTATGGCTTTGGTTGGTCAAAAATTCATTATTAGTCATTATTGTACTCTAATGGACTTTTATGCTTTGTTTGGATCTCATAAGTAAACTTTAGACTACTTTAACTTTTGAGGCTCCATACAAATAGTTTAAAGTGTTGTTTAAAGTTTAGTCAACCTCACAAAAAGACTAAAAGCTCATTAGAACACACATGTGAGCTAAAGTGGTTTAAAGTTTATAGCTATTAACTTTAATAACCAACTAAACTTTAGACCATGTGATCTAAACAGGACCTTGGTTGACTAGATAAGTTTGAAAAAGAAAGCTGTTTTTGAGTTAGTGTATGAATTTTTCATGAGTAAACCTAGTTTAGAACATGGGAATTTTGAACAACTTAGTATATAGTTATATGCAGAAGGTGCATCTTTTCCTACCATTCTTAGTAAGGGCGGTTGGTGACGCAAAAGAAACGTATGAGTTTTTTTTTTTATGTTGATGTTACACAAGTGGCCTGTTCTGCTGCTTGTTCAAACAGCCATGCAGCTGCATATTTCCACTGTTACTAGAAAAACTGGCACGGCGTTGTCGTGCCCCCACCTAATTAAATGGGAACATATCTAGTGCAAACCAACCTCTTCGTGCAAACTGTGCAAACCAACTGCGGGGGAGAGGTGCAAACCAACCGTGTAATTAGGAGCGGGCGTAATTACACTTTTGCAAATCCCCCCTCCCACCTCTCCCCCGCAGTTGGTTTGTACGGTTTGCACGGAGAGGTTGGTTTGCACTTGATACATTGCCTAATTAAATAGGCCAGTTCCATCATTTCTGAACTTCATATACTTGCAGAACAACAAAGGACTGTGCTGCTTAGCGAAATCTTTGTTTTTTGACGTATGCTGCTTAGCGAAATCGTGCATAGATACATGTACAACAAAAGAGATGCAAAATAATGCGTGGTGATGTTATACAGCAAACAACTTTTGCCATCCGGAGATTACTCTTTCTTTTACTTCTATGTATCTGATTTTGACATTGCAGCTGCTATTAAGATAAAGTTAAATGACTGAACAAAGAGTGTAGATAGTATAATCTAGAATATGTTTTTTTTTACTTCATTACTTAGTTCCTTTGATGCTTGCCTTTGTCCTGTGATCGGGTTAGCTTTTGTCGGAAGAGTAGCGTCAGTATCATATTTTTATACTCATTATAATATCTTGGTGCAAACTCTATAACTCTGAAGAGATATATGTAGATGATAGATTACAACCCGATGAGACAAAGGATCAAGACACCGAAGCAAATCTGCATAAGATTATTATATTCTTAGTCTGAGAATTTAGCTGTTATACTGCAATTAGTATCGCATAGCTAAAACATAGTAACATTATATAAATAACGAGCTGGTAGGCAGAATTGTGCTCCAACAAAGGCTTGAAATTAGGCACGCTGTGTTTAGCAAGGTGTAAAATCAGAGTGACTTCGTATGATTGTCATGTTCGAGAAAAAAAAACTTTGTATGATTGTGCTAGGATTTTCAGTAATCTCATGTGTTTCAACAATATAAGGTAAATGCATATTGAAACATGAACATTTTGTTAAGGGAGAGTTTCACAGAAGCCTTTACTTTGGTAGACTGTATCGGTCAACTGAAGTGCTTCACCTTCATAGTCTTTTTAAACTATAGGGTCAATTTAAAGTGACAGACAATGGAGGTAGTCAGCCTGTTCGGGACGCCGTATCATATCGTGGATTATTTACTGCTGGCTGGTTTGGTGTGAGAGAAAAACACTATTCCCGACTGGAAATTTACGATCGTTTACGAGCAAGCGAACAGGCTGAGTAGCAGATTGTACACTTATGGATCATCATCATATGAACTGCACATGATTCTGACCTTGTTAATACAGAGAGAGTAGGAATTTCTTGGTAATAGACAACAATATAAATTGCAGAGGTAGCCGCTTGTATGCCTAAAACTGGACACAACTCTACGCTAAATTTAATAAAAAATATTAGATTGGATGTTTGTTTTACCAAACCAGGTTATCTATTTTCTTTCAAATTTAGAGGTATCACTGAAATTCATATATTCATTCTTCTTATTACAAAAGATATGCAACCCTGTTTCTTCTTAGAGACTATTATACTGCAAAGCAACACAAAAGAAACTTCTCAAAGTACAACGTAAATTACAATTTTCTTTATGACGAATGAACAAATAAAGTAAATGTATTGCATAACTATTGTAGTTATCTCTGTTTTAAATTAGAGCTTCGGGCTTCTATTAAAATATGGTAAACATTTATGCTGTAAATATGGGAAAGGAGAGTATAAAATTTCCTTTTATTTTGAGCTGAAACTTTCATCCCAATTACGGGAAATTTTCATAAATACTTATATGGAAAGGTTAATTCTATGATTTAGTTATAAAACTAAGCTGTTCTTCTCACATACTCATAAACTTTAATATGCTGCTCACATAATTTCCTTGATATGATGTTTAGACCTCATGATGTTGGCTTATTTCTTTATATGATGCTTAAACCTCAACATACATCATGCTGTATTATTGGTTGGATAAATTTCTCCAATTAGCTGTAGGATAATACAACAATGATTTTTTCAGTTAACTTTGTCCAGTTAGCTGTACAGGTTGACACAACAATGATTTTTCACAATCTATGAATGCTAACTCAAGATATCTTTATTATTATGTATAATGGGGACAATTCATGTTAGTGTTTGTGTGATGTAAAATGGGATAAGAAAACTTACCGATCAAGCATATTGTTTATCCCATTGACAACACGTCAATGAAATTTAATTTTTTGTTCTGCTCTGATTCAATGTGGTTTCTGTAGCACCAGCAAGGTGATGTGATTAGCAAAATGCCAGTGCTTGAGGGCAGCACTCGACGCAGCTGCAGATTGACTGGAGCAATCTCCACCCAAATTGATTGTATCAATCACCACTAAAATTGACTGGAGCCACCTAGACCTAGACTGATTGAAATCCATTGTCTTGTTCGCTTCGCTGATAAGCCATGGCTGAAAGTACTATTAACTAATTTGTTGGATAAGAAAAATATTGTTCCATGCCTGAAAAAGTACGGCTTATAAACAGGGCGAAACGTGTATTGAAAACTTCAGCAAGCACCTAGCATCATCGAGGAGAGGCAAATCTACGCATGAAACAGGAAAAGATGAACACACAAAGAGGGATTGTTGGAATGGGGTCTCCTCGTTAACTTTGATTGAGGCTCACCGTGTGCCATTGCCACAGCAGTCCTCCCGGCGTGCTGGTCCTCATTAGCTTCGATTGAAGCTTGTCCTGCACCATTGCCACAGCGGCACCAGCGTGGGTAGCGTCAGCCTGATTTGTTGCCCGTGGACCCGCTCCTCCCCGCCGCCACGGCCAGCGCGCCCCGCGTGCCGCAGCCTATCCGGACGGCCCCGCCCTCCGGAGCCCGGAACCTACGATTCGCGAGCGCCGGGTCGACAGGACGAGGACCGCCCGAGCAGGATGGCGAGGATTCGTGAGGGCTTGCCCCCGTCCCAGCGCACGCTCGGAGAAGGCACCTCACGTGCGGCGGTGAGCTAGCGCAGTGTCGCAGGCGACGGGAGGGCACAGGGTTCGCGAAGGCTCGGTGCGGGCAAGCTGGACGGCTAGATCAACGGCTCGATCAACAATGGCACGGGAATCCGACGGTTAAGAAAATAAAGGCGACGTGGCCCAATCATATACTCGAGCTTGGCTCAGGATTGGAAAGGAAGAGATTGAAGTGTTTTATGAGTAGTCCATGACGCACGCGCGCCGCCGGCAAATCACCTGGTTAACCAGGAAAAAAATATCCATATTGATTGAATCGGTGGATGAAAAAGGGCAATAACCTGAGATACAGCAATAACCTGAGATACAAAGCAAAGAAGACTCCAGGCTGTTGCGTAAGGGTGAAAATGAATTCCTTGAATGTATAAGTAGTACTGTAATAAATTCGGCTGGACATTGTATCCCTTCCATATATATTGGCAGTATAACTAAGACAGTATTTTGTAAAAGGAAAAAAAAAAACTTGAG